TGCTGCTAATATTTTTTATGGAACCTGTAATCTCTTGACATTGTCTTCTACCTGGAGAAGGCTGTTCCCTTAGCCTGCTCCCATGCACACACTCCTGTGGGCTGCTGCCACGGGCTGTCTGGGCAGAGCTGGCTTAATGCAAATCCCCCTTAATCTTCAATAATTATATTAATATAAAAGGTAAACATTTCACTTTGGAAAACAAAGGTGGCTCTCTGGCCTGCCAGGGGATCACTGGCTTATGAAGGACCTTTCTGCCAGTATTTATCACTCTAAAATAAGATTTACGCTTCTAAAGCTCTTTTCTTTCATGATTCTGAGCTGCTTCATTTTTCTCCCATGAGCTTTCCTATCCTCTCTTTCTTGCTGCCTAACAAATTAGGCATCTAATTGTTGTGGGGGATGCATGATGGGAGTAGGCATTTTATATACAGCATTGTGTTCATGGTTAGTCTTTAAACTGTTAGGCCTAGCAAAGGTTTGGAGTCAATGTCTGTGCATTTGCTTGTGCCTGGGTGCATGTGTATGGCAGATGGTAATTTCAGGTTAACACCTGAACTCTTTCTGTGCCCTGACCCAACCAAAGGGCAGGACTGCAGAGCAGCATGGCCTTGGGGCAGTCCTACAGCCTGTATTTTAGCCCTCTGCCATTCCTGAGCAGGCAGCACACTGAGCTGGGAAGAGGGCTGATGCCCAGTTGCAGCACAAAGCGTAAGAAAGCAGAAGGAGCTTTGGCCTAGTTTCAGGGTGTCCCCAGAGGCACCAAGAGTCTTTGGCAGGTTTTTAATACATTCATTTGTAATGTGAGGCTCTTAGCACCGTTTAAGGAATGGTAGAATTAAGTGCTGGTTTTTCCAGCGTGCTGGGCCCCAGGAGGGCAATATTGACAAGGTCAGAGTTTAGGCCCAAATTGCTGCTGTATGTGGCTTTTCTGGTTGCCTTTTTACACCATGGCCCTTAGACCCTGTATCCTCTCTCAGCTGTGGTCCTTCCACCCCCTCAGCCTCCACCTTGTCTCTGTCCCTCATATCATGCCTGTCCACACTTTCAGTGGTTGTATTTTAACCTGCCCTCATACCTGGCCATATAAGTAGTGACTGTATTCCTGCATCACCCCCTGTGCCACCTTGATCCCTGAGCCAAATGGGTTGTCTGTGACTATCAGGACATCCACCTCCTGACTCAGATTTGGGACTCTCCTCCCTCCATTTCATCCTCCCTGCTCTCTCCTCTGAATAGGGGAACCATCCCTGTGGTCTTCTCCTCTTCTGCAAACACTTTGGTTCGAAGAAATGCCAATAACACTGAGGCATCCATTAGCAGGGAGTAAACCAGAGGGAAATCTTTGGGAGCTCAGAGCTAGTGGTTTGACTTTGTGCCAGCCAGGGAGGGTACAGTGCCCATTCATGGGCACAATGCCACTACTGTTCCTTGAAGCGCTCACATACGTGAGGATGGCTAGGAGCCAAGGAAACATTGCAAGAGCCATCTTGGGTTACACTGAAGAGCACTGGAATCCTTCAGCCAGGTAGGCCCAGCGCATGGGGGTGGTGATCTTGCACTTGCCCTATAAAACGCATCCCATCTCCCACCTTTTCCCTTTGTCTGTAGCCACAGGCTCCATTCAGACTAGGTGCTTCACAACTCCTTCATCCCCCTTCCTTGGCTCTGGGCTGGAGTTGCTTGCCCTTGCGCTCCCTGCCCTCCCTTCGTTCCTGTGTCTTCTTGCTTTGTCGCCTGAGAAGCAGGGGAGGGAAACAGCAAACTCCACTGTCAGCACCTTCCAGGCCAGCAGAAAGGACAGAGTGTTGCTTCTTTCTGTTTTTGGACTCCAACACTATCAGATTTTAGTCCATTTGGCTCTAGACATTTGAGGGAGGTCATGGTACTGACCTCCATCCCTGGCATCCCCTTGCCTGTGAATTGCCAGTGTCAGGGAGCAACTCTGCTCCCTAAAGGCCTGGTCACAACTGTGGTGGAGTTGGAGACCAGCACGCCTATGGCATTGCTGCATCAGGGACTGATGGCACTGAAATGGTGTCTGGGCCATCAGCAGGGGTGAAGGAGGCCACAGACTAGGCTGGCCTCAGGGCCCTTAAAACCAGGGCAATAGTGGGAAGACAGGAGCTCTTGGGGGAAGAAGGGCAGGGTCTGTGTATTTCTTGTATATAGTCACCTTGAGGGCTCAAGGGGATCAATGAATTTGACTTGAGGAGTGGCTTGGCCCTTCCTTTGGCCTGTGACTGAGGCAAGTTTGCACAGCCAGGTGGGAGGTAGATAGGAAACAGGTCTTCTCTGCATGGTCCCCTTGTTTTTGACACATAGCAAGAATAAACACCACCTTCATTTCCATCCACCCTCTAACCCAGCCACCTCTTTCCTTGACAAGCTGTTAGAACATCTCCCCTTCCAAACTCTCTCTGTGCTGTCTGAGTGTAGCTCCCTGAGTGGGATAAGGTGGCTCTCAGTGATTGCTGGGACTGCTGCAGAGGAACATGGTCCTGGCCTCAGAGTTTCTCCCTGTGAACCATGAACAAGCTACATCAGGCAATGATGACTTCAGCCCAGCATTTGGAGCAGCCTGCCCTACTAGAAGGGGTCAAAGCAAGTGGGCTGGGATGTTCTTGTATGTGGTTGGGTATTGTGCAGGGTATTTCATGAGGTAAGACAGGCAGACCAAAGCATAACACTGACAGAAGGATGCTGGCTAAAATCCAGGCTAAACTTTTCACTTCTTGCTCAGGGTCTGCCCCTGGACTCTCATGGGGTGGCCATACTTAGGGCACCAATGTGCAGAAAGCACGACAGTATCTGTCACTCTTTTGTTCAGTGGAAGAGACTGGGCAAAGTGAAGGAGAATTAAGAGAGGAAGGTAGAAGGACAGACAGAGATGATGTGGGGGATTGACTGTATCTCTGTATGGGGTCACTTCTGGAGAAGGTGGGACAAGACAGGGGACTGGTGCTGAGGAATAACAGAGGCCTGTGGGTCCCAACATGTGGAGAGCCAGATGTGCCTCCTATCTGAGGCATCTGGAGAGACAGTGTCAGGAAATTACTTCTCATTGGATTATAAGGCCGAGAAACAAAGCAACAGACTGTGAAAACCTCTGCCTTCTGCTTCAGTGATAGCTGAAGCAAAGCTGAGGCAGCAGCTGGAGGTCACAGTATGACAACCATAAATGACATGAGTTTGGTGGCCTCAGATGATGAGCTGTGGGGAACAGAGGCTTCCTCTCTCTTTTCCATTGGTATAATTCTTCTCCCCCTTCCCTTCTCTATCTTGGCTTTACTTTTTGGATTATTGAATATTTAAATGTTTCACTGTGACACTATCTCTGATCCTTTAATCCAGCTGGCCTGGTAATTCCACAGACCCAAATCAGCTCAGATTTCTCCACAGACGTAAGCCTTGTTCCTCAAGGGTTCAGTCCTCCTTCATTTATCTTCCTTCATTTTATATCTGCCCTTTGTGTCTCTGTGCTAGAAATTGGTTCAGCTTCTGCAGCAAAAGCTTCAGCAGTATCTTTAGTGAGCAGCCTCCCCCCAGAATAAAAGGGCCAAGAGAGGATCTTTATTTTTCATTAACTAAGAATCTTTTTCTCTGTTTTTTTATTGTTTTCTGTCTCCTCTCTCTCTCTCTTTTTTTTTTTTTTAAGAGTGCCTACATGTTTTGTCTGCTGTATGAAATTATTTCCTCTGCACTGCCTGAGGACAGCCCCGTCAGTCTCCTGTCTCACCGCGGTGAAAGAAGGGTTGGAGCTGTAGCCAGAGGGAAGGGTGCTCCAGGATGCCCTTCCCAGTCAGAATCAGGAGCTTGCTCAGAGCCCGGAAGTACATTGAAATAGATGTTACTTTGCTGCTTATTCCTGCAAGTGTCCTTTCCCACAAAGGGGCAGTGTTCATAGCCCCCAGGGAGAGGTGGCAAAGTAGCAAGGTAGAAGCTGTGTGCTTCTCTTTGGTGGGAGGTAGGTGGGTGATGTGCTGCAGCACAGGACTTCTGGCCTTGCTGGGTGAGAGACTGGAGTCTTCTATTTGACATGCTGCCTACACCCTGCCCTCCTCAGTATGCTCAAGCCAGGTTGGATCACCTCAACAGACTTGTCCCTGTACCAAAAGGCAGGAACAATTTTTAGAGCACAAGTGGTTACATGTTGCTTCAATTATTTATCCATCTTGCATCAAGGAAGGAAGGAAACAAACAAAATGTCGGTCTTTTTCAGGGTGGGAGTCTTGTCTGTATTTTACCTGCTTCATGCATTCTGTGTACATTATTTTCAAGCAGGTGAAAATCTGTGGCTTTGGCCATGCTTGGGGCTTGCCTTTGTTTAGACTGGGAGTTTTGAGCCATCCACAATAACAGCCTTGTGTTTCCTGCCCTCCCTCCCCTTCCCTTTTCTCTCACACTGCTGCCTTCCCCCAGGTCCCTGGCTGTGATCATGTTACTTAAGGGAGCCTGGGTACCCTTCTGCATACCCCTGATACGAGATTATACATTGTAAGGGTTTCCTTCTCAAAGGCTTATCAGCATGGCAGGCAATACCACTTCTCTCTTGCTTGCACCCTCTGTAATGCTGTCTCTTCCCCATCTCCGGCTTCTCGTGAAACCTTGCTGTCTATACTCTTGTCTCAAAGGCCCCTCCAACTGATGTGACTTCTTGTCTCCTGTGTGCTTTCTTTTCCAGATTCCAGTGACAGATGGATCTCTCTCGTGCACACTTGCTCTTTCCCTCTCTGTATTTTTGTTTTCGACATGTTTGATCTGAAGCTCTGAAGCTTCTCAGAGGAAACCAGGGAGAGAAGGAAGAGAAGGAGGAGGAACTGAGGGAGCGTGAGCGACAGAGGAGGCAGCCCTGCCTTGTTCTTCCAAATCACACCGTGGAGGGGTGGGGGAAGACTAGAGGGTGGGAGGACTTGCTTTGGGGTGGGTTCAGTG